CCATTGGCCCAATTACTTGGATTTGTGACAGAACAACTTTCATGTGGAGTTGGACAAGTATTGAAATTTATTATTTTCATTAGATGTCCGAAAATCAATTTATAATTAAATTTTTATTACTTTCAATTTAAATTTAATTAAAGATCTTAGCAGCATTATTAAACGTGACTTTTGGCAATGCCGTAGAATTAATAATATTGATAATAGCTTTGACAAAGGGACAAATTTGTGTTGTTCAGGCTTCAGTGCTTGGATCTGTACTCTCAAATATTTTGGTAGTGTTGAGGTCATGTTTTCTCTTTGGTGGTATCACCATTCTTAAAGAAGGTCGTTTAGAACAAAATTTTGATTCAACTGCAGCACAAGCAAGTTCAAGTGTGATGACTTTAGCATGTATTGTCTTAATAGTATGGCTCTTCAGTAGTGTTATTTGTAATATATATACTTTACTTATATTTTCAGATACTGTATCTCATATATTTATACACCATGCCATTGTAAATACGGATCGTATAACTAGTCAAATTATTTATATAAATAGTTAAAAACCCATAAAGATTTATTCCAAACCGAAGAAAATGAAGAGCTACAGATAAGCAAGTATTTTGTACTATTTTTGCTAGTTATAGTGACAGTTGTAACGGCATTTTCTGCTGAATTTCTTGTTAGTTCAATTGAAGGAGTTGTCACGTCTCATGGTTTAAGCAAAACCTTCATTGGGTTAGTTTTACTACCTATTATTGGAAATGCCGCTGAGGTATTTTAATTTGAATACACATCGCTGTCTGTTAATATTACTTTTTAAATTTATATGATTTTAAATTTATTAGCATACAACTTCTGTCAAAATTGCAATGAAAGACAGAATGGATTTTGCTATTAGCATTGCAGTTAGCAGTTCAACAGTAAGTAAATTAATAATAAATGTATGAAAATCAGTATAATTTAAATTAATGGTTTTTATATTTTTTAGCAAATCGCATTATTTGTTACTTCTCTATTAGTGATATTAGGATGGATTATAGGTTAACCGATATCATTATTCTTTTTACTTTTTGAAACCGTATGTTTATTTATTGCAGTTTTACTCTTAAATTACTTGGTGCAGGTATGTTCAATAAACAACTTAATTAAAAATATTTGCTTAATTTCTTTGACCAAACCAAATTTTTATAATAAAATTAATATTTGACTAAACATAGGGTAAATATAATTTGAATTTATTTTTTAATATTAAATGCAATTAATATAATTTGAATTTGAATTTTTCGATGGAAAATCAAATTGGTTAGAGGGTACATTGCTTATAGCGACCTATTTAATAATAGCATTGGCATTTTTTTTTATCCTGATAATTATTAACAAATAAAAAACATATTCTGTTCTGAACAACTATATCTAACAGTACACATTTAGGTTTACTTAGTAAAATTTCGTAAAACATCATCTGCCTCAAATTAGCACTATATCAAATTTTAAACATATTTTTTAGACAAACTAAAACAGGAGCGGACAAAATTCTAACAAACAAAATCTGAAAGATCAGAATCCCGAAAAGTTAATCCAAATTAGGTTGGCTTAATTCTGTAAATTTTTTCTAGATTTCGTTCTTGGGATTATGTTTTCGAGATTTTAAACTATAGATGCTAGTAAAATTAAATACCAAAATAAAAATTTGGTGAAATGGTGAAATTGGTGAAATTGGTGAATTTGTGAATTTGTGAAATGGTGAAATCATTTCATCACCTGATTTAATTTCACCAGCATCACTCTTTTGAACCAAACCCAACAAAATAGTAATTATGAAGTATTTGTTATGTGTAGAATTTGCAAATAAAAAAATTTAAAATTAAATTTTGTATTTGTCATATTGTATCGGTTTATACAATATCTAATTATATGAACTTATTTTTTGTTAAGATTTCTATGATTATATTTTAACATAACTAAACGGTTCAAATACTCGCATTAATAATCATTAACAGGATTATGCTGAACTTTTATTATAAGAAATCTTTTTGATTAACTACAAAAAAAACCTTTCCCACATATGATAGCCAATAACAGGATTCTCAATTATGAACCATTGCCTATTCTCCATGATTGCAAAAATCATGATCCTCTTAGGGACATCCATAATTTACATTAAACCAGTAAAGTATTGTATAAAAATAGATAACTCCGTATAGTATTATCTTTAGATTGCTACAGTGCATCTCTTACTAACAAAAAGTAAATCAATTATATTAGCCTTTTTATTCAGATAATAAAATTGATCTCTGAGAATTTTTTCTAAAGAAGACTTCGCGTCAAATTTAATAACCAATATTTTAAAACTATAGTCATCTGAACTTTGATTATCAGACTAAATGCAATATATATAAAATGAATTTAATCATATTAATATATAATTAAACATATCACAACACAGAATATTAGTTTAGTTACACAAATATGATATATAAGCAGAACAGAATCTAAGTGGATTTGAAGACTTAGAATTTTGTGTTAGTGTTGGAGTTTCTATACTGTAATTATGAAATTCCTAATCTACTAAGATCTTACAAGATATAGTGTTTTCTTTATGAATTAATAAAGTTAGTTTATTGATCTGGAGTGAAGCAGATGATTATTTAGTGTCTATGCAAAGTGATACCAAAATTATGTTTTTGATGCATTTCGACAAAAATTAGTGACTTTTCTGATGCGGCTCTTTCTAAACCTCCTGAAAGTAGGGTTGTTTATGCAAGATCTACTGTAGTTCAATAATGCTAGCTGAGTTTTTCATAGTGCCGATACTATATATCACATGTGAAATTTATATGAAATCTATGTTACTGAAACTTACATAAAATTACATGTATTGTAAATTTGTAAAATGTAATTTTCAACTTATGTGAGAAATAGATTCTTAGTTATCCTAATAAACCAAGATATCAAAGTCGAAAAACTTTATTAAAGGTATGAAAAGACCGCACTTTTATATTAACAGTAGTATCTTATTTACATGTTTCAGCCTATATCAAGTCTATTAAGACTATTTCTATACTCTCCACAAGGCTAACAAGCTTTCGCTAGTTCTGTACCTTTAAAAGTAAAAATAAAATAAATAAAAATGATATGATACCCAAATGTTGGATTAGTTCTAATTTCTCAAGCCTCTATTATTTGATCTCGCACCACAATTATCAATCACAAGAAAAGATATTTATTATTCGAATAATATTAGTTATTCGAATAAATATTTTCTGATTTATTCGAATATTATTTGAATAAGGAATTTGTAAGCTCTATTCTGAGTAAAATCAGATATAATTCCAAACAGATTAAAATATAAATTCAGGCTAAATTAATATTGTGTTAAATTTAGTTTATTTTCAAATGCTTTATTTTTATTATGCTCTTTTATTGTAAAATATTTATATTTGGATTGTCTGATTTTATTAAGACCATATCATTATGCCTTAGATCAAGATAAGTTAATATGTTGTTCTTGAAAAGTGCATCTTCAAATGTTTTTTTCCTTCTTTTCCAAGACCATTATCATAAAGATACAATTTTTTTAGCATGGTGTTCTTGTAAAGTGCTTTTGCTAACGCTTTTCCACCCCTTTTCCAAGACTATTTCTTTCAAGATGCAATTCTTCCATCGCAGTGTTCTTGCAAAGTGTATCTGCTAACGCTTTTCCTTTCTCTGTTCCAAGGTGATTACTAGTAAGATACAATTCTTTCAGCGTGGTGTTCTCACAAAGTGCATTTGCTAGTGCTTTGCCTCTTTCTTTTCCAAGAAAATTACTATTAAGCCGCAATACTTTTAGCGTGATGTTCTTGCAAAGTGCATTTGCTAATGCTTTTCTACCTTCTGATCCAAGTTTATTCTCATCAAGATCCAAAAGAGTTAATGTGATGTTATAATAAAGTGCATTTGCTAATGCTTTTCCTCTGTCTGATTCAAGATTATTATTAAGAGGAATCAGAGAAGTTAGTGTAGTGTTCTTGCAGAGTACAACTGCTAATGTTTTTCCTCTATCTGATCCAAGTTGATTATTATCAAGATTCAATGAAGTTAATGTAGTGTTCTTGCGAAGTGCATCTGCTAATGCTTTTCCTCCATCTGATCCAAGTTGATTATATCAAAGATTCAAATATTTCAGAGTATTGTTTTTACAAAGTGCATCTGCTAATAATTTTATATTTGATCTAAGTTTAGTATTACTAAGATTCAAAGAAGTCAGTATAGTATTGTTCTTAAGTATATTAATTAATTCTTTTGGATTTTTGAAATTAAGTCTCTTGTTAGAAAGATCCAAGCTTAAAGTATGTTTATCCTTAAGTATGCTATCATTCTGCATTGCAGTCAGGGAATATACCAAATTTGGTTAATGCCGATCGCACCTTATTTGGTAATGATCATCAGCAGAATTATTCTAAATTCCATTTCTAGATTGTTCACGAAATACAACTCTTAGATATAACAAACCTTAATATAACGAACTCTGGCCATAACGAACTCGAAATTTTCAAATTTTAATATTAGATCGATATAAAAAGAGC